CTGCCTCTTCTATTTTTAACCTCTGCCCTGTTTTTAACCTCTTTCCTTAGAGACCATTTCTTCATAGCCTACAACTAGAGCAATCTTTTTTTTTTCTTTTTGTTAAGTGTGTTTTGAAAAGCTTGTTTTAACAAATTCTAGTTTGTATTAGGGGGCTTCATTGAGATGTTCTTCTTAAGTCACTCTTGGGTATCACAGCCAGGCTTTTACTGCTACCAAAGACTACCACTTACTAAATCCAGGGACCCTTTTTGTCTTTCTTCTTACTTGACTTCTTTGTAGTGTTGGACTACCTCTTATTCCCCTCCTCCTTTTTTTAGACGGGGTCTCCCTCTGTTGCCCAGACTGGAGTGCAGTGGCATGATCATGGCTCACTGCAACCTTGATCTCCTGGGCTCAGGTAGTCCTCCCATCTCCCATGTACACCACCACACCCAGCTAATTTTTTTTGGATTTTTTGGTCTCACTATGTTGCCTAGGCTGGTCTCCAACTCGTGGGCTCAAGCAATCCTCCTGACTTGGCCTCCCAAAGTACTGGGATTACAGGTGTGAGCCACCATGCCCAACCTCTTCTTGGAAAGTTTGTCTCCTTCACCTTCCATGCCATCACCCTCTTTGGACTTTCTTCTTGCCTTTGGTAGGCAGTGTAGCTTTGTGGTGAAGAGCCCAGGGGCCATAGTCCCGTGGCTTGAGTTCAAGTCCCAGTTATGCTACTTGCTTTTTTCTTGGTCACTTGAATGACTCGCCACACCTTGCAAGGCTGGTATGTTTCTTTATTTGTAAAATGGGGTTTCACTGAGCCCATCCACGTGAAACTCTGAGCCCAGTGCCTGGTGTATGACCACACTCAGCAGCTGTTAGCTGCAATTCTAATTGTGGGTCACTTGACCTTCTTTTTACCTCTGGCTTTTCTGCCTCATTAATCTTGCCTTGAATGGGGCCCCCTCCAGCTCACAGCCTGCTGTGGAGAAGTGCAAAACCAGTCATTCTGTTCCCCTCCCAAAAAACAGAGTCATCCCAAATAGTACCTTCTTCCTGGTCTCCTGTTTCTGTTGTTTTTTTCCTGCCATGTCCACTGTCCCTGTCTTCCGTTGGATGTGTCTTGCCTTCTTTGAGCTGTCAGTTGTTAAGCAGTCTTCCTGTCCGTGCTGCCAGGGCCATTATGGAATGCAAAGTGACATTGTTCTCCCTGCCTGAGTATCCTCCAGGGGCTTGCTGTGCCTGTAGGACCAAGTCTGCACTTTTAGCATGGCTTCTGTGGCCATCCTCTCCCTCAGGAGAGGGACCTTGTGACCTTCTCCTTGTTTGTTTTTCAGTTCAATCTTACTGCTTGTTCCAGTCTGTTGAAATACTTAACCCTTTATCTAAAGTGTCAGATCGGTTCATACTTCCATGCTTTTATGCTGAAAAAATGTCCTCTTGCACTTCGCTACTTTCCTAAACCTGCCTGGCAAGTTCTCAGGCAACTTTCAAGACACTTTTTAAATTTTTTTCCCAATTTCATCTCTTTTGACCCTTCCAGCTCAGTGCTCCTCCTGTGCTCCATCACCCTGATCACTCCGTGTGTACACACACTACCACACTCCATTAATTCTATGCCCGTCATTTCCTTTGTTGTTGTTATCGTTGTTTTTTAATATTTTATTTTAAAGATATGGGATATAATTCAGGATTAGGTATACAAGTGGACATCGTACAGGTAAAGTTTGGGCCTTTCTTTGGTTCCCACTTTGCCTGGTTTGAGATCAAGTACCATTACTGATGTTGTGTCTCCCTCATCCCAACAGTATCCCGCTGCTGCCAATCCCTTTCTTATAGTAAACATTTATGGTAAATGTTCAGGGTCTGCTTATTAGTGAAAACATATGACACTTAGTTCTTGGTTTCTGTAATAGATCACTGAGTATGAGGGATCCTGACATTTAACTAGTGGTTAGTTTCTGCCCCGTTAATCTTATACAATACTTAGCATGTGGAAGGAATTCGAAAAATAGTTCTTGAGTGAATAAATAAACAGGCAGGTGAGCTGCAAGGACTGTAATTTTTATGTTCTCACGTTAAGAGAATTGTGGTATTTATTCATTTTTACAATGATATTGTTGGGGTGTTCATACTTAATTTTAAGTGGGCTCATAAACAGAAACCGTAGTTTGGTCAGAGAGAAATAACATTCCTAATCCATGCTAATTTTAGAGGCCCATCTTCTCAAGAAGATGGGGGGAATGAGTGCTTTTTAATTATGTTGAACCATATGAAATTGCCAGCATTCAACCATTCAATTTCATATAGTTCAATATGGAACTAATGGAAAATTTATTGACCTTTCTGTGTCAGTGATCCTTTGATGGGGTAGAAATGAGTCTAGCCTGACTGTGGGTGGATTTCCCACTGGGTGGTTGAATAGCTCTGGCTTAGTTTCATAGAAGTGGTAGAGAGGCCTTCCTGCTTCCTTCTTTTCCTTCTTGGCCACAGTCCTTTGCTTATCTGAGGGACAGAAGGAATTTAAAGCTGCTGCCAGACAACAGTCTGGGGCTGGGACATCACCCGTGCAGCACCTACTCTTCTCTGGATTTATGTTCTTCTGGCCCCATGTCATACATGACCTTAAGGTCACGAGGAGCTTCATGAGTTTAAGTTTTCCGATAGGTTGTCTCATAGGTGACCCTGTTCAGAGGAAAGAACAATGTGTCCTCTCTTCTTGAACAAAAGGAGGGACTACTGTTAAAGAAAAACTTTTTCTGACAGTGATAATTTATTACTGTGAGCCAAGTTCAACCCTGTGAACCAAGAGGTGTTGTCGGGCTTGATTGCAGGGAAGAGGAAGCCCGCTTTCCTATGCATGGGCTTGGGCCAGGGTAGTTTATATGCTGACAGTAAGGAGGACTGCATATTGAAATACAGGTCATAGCCGGGCTCGGTGGCTCAGCCTGTAATCCCGCGCCTTTGGGAGGCTGAGGTGAGTGGATTGCCTGAGCCCACGAGTTTGAGACCCATCTGGGCAGTGAGACCTCATCTCTACAATAAATCAAAAAATCAGCCGGGTGTGGTAGCGCGCGCCTGTAATTCCGGCTACTGGGAAGGCTGAGGCGGAAGGATCGCCGGAGCCCAGCAGGTCGAGGCTGCGGTGGCCGGGAGCGGCCACTGCACTCCAGTCTGGGCGACAGAGTGAGACTCCAACTCAAAAAAAAAAAGGAAATACAGGTCATGACTATCACAATAGGGGAAAGAGACCAGGCTCAACTCTGAATACAGTGAAGACAAGTGTAGATTGATAGTCAACAAGCAGAGTGAGGAGGCCAGAGGAAGGAAAACTACTAAGAGAAAACATCAAGTTAGTGGGATTCTTGCTAAACTGACTTAACAGGATTCTTGCTGAAGGCAGGCCAGGATGGTCAGATGTCGAGGGTGAGGAATGAAGAAATTGATCAGATTTGGAGGGTGCCTTAGTTTATTGGGCTGCTATAACAGAATACTATGGATTGGATGGCCTGTGAAAAACAGAAATTTCTTACAGTTGTGGACACTGTTGTGGAGGCTGAAAGTCCACGATCAGGTTGCCTGGATGGTTGTGTTCTGGTGAGGTCTGTCTTCTGGGTGTAGATTTCTGCTTTCTGGCTGTATCCTCCCATGGCAGAGATTAGAGAGAAGCAAGTTCTCTCGGGACCCTTGCGGGGACGCTAGTCTCATCCTGGGGGCTCTGCTCTCATGACTTCATCTAATCCTAGCTGTCTCCCAAAGGCCCTGCTCCTGATACCATCACATTGTGGGGCAGAGTTTCAACATATGAATTTTGAGGGGACAGAAACATTCAGTCCATAACAGAGGGTGATCAGCTCTCAAAGAGTAGGGGCATCTTTCCTAAGCAGACTTAGCACGGTTCTTCGACTGGGCTAGGCAGGCCAAGGAGGCCCCAGAACACAGCCTCATTAAGAAGATGCAGAGGAACCTGTTCAAAGTTTGGTCAAGAAGAGGGTCTTTGCCACTGCCTCCTGGATCTATGAGTACCACTTTTTCAGGAAACACAATTTAGTGCTAATAAAGAGAGGTCATTGAGTTGACCTTTGGCGCTGTGCCCTGGGGAAGTTCTTCCCCATGGTTGTCTCTCTCTGTTGTCATCCTTTAAACTTTGATTGGCATTCTGTTATTGTTGGCATATGCAGCAATTGAAGGCTGAAGTGGAAAAGGCATTTTTCTCCTGGTAGGTGATTGTGCTTCTGTGCATTTATAATAAAATGTAAGACTGTAAACCAGACTAGGCTTACAGCCCTTTTAGCTGTTTGTTTCTCAGTTTTAGATGGTACTTTAACAGAAATTTTGAGGGAATTCAAAAACGTTTATTGGTAAAACTAAATGCTGGGAGCCTCCCTTTATCATAAGATAAAGATTTATGGCTTAGCATTGGTACAGTCTTCTGACTCTGAGGATCTAATGATATCACAAACTTTTTAAAGATTGTCTTCCAGTACACCTTTATAAAGCTGTAAATTCAGAGATTTTTATTCTTCCTGCATGTAAATTACCAATTAACTTGTCAGGCTTTGCCAGTTTATCTTAAAATCCCTAAGTAAGTGTACAGAAACAAGGCTTAGGAGAAACGTGTAATAAGACATTGCCTAGATTTGAATGCTCAGGTTGAGGCCATAAAGCTTAATGCAGGCTTAGCATGCTTCTAGATCAAAGAGCTAAGAGACTTAATGGGGATGAGGCTGGCAAGGAAGTGCCCTCTGTGAACCAACAGGCATTGTGGGGCTTGCTCTCAGGGAAGAGGGAGCTGGCCTTCCCTGGGGTGGGATTGCAGGTGGGTCAGGGTAGCTCATATGCTAAACTGGTTCTGCAAATCCACATTGGAAATGGTCTACCTCCTATTTGAAATGGGGTCACAAATCTTATCAAATGGCAAATTTATGTGGTGACTGACACAATATACAGCAAATGGCCTCCTGTTTATGTTTGCTTTGTCATGTTAGTCATATGAGTAATCGCTGTGTGTCCTGTCTTAGGTCCTCAGAGGCACCGTGACCAACTTCCCTGGGTTTGACGAGCGGGCTGATGCAGAAACTCTTCGGAAGGCCATGAAAGGCTTGGGTAAATATAGTGTCCCTTTTGTTTTGAAGAAATTGAGACTTTTTTTTTCAAGCAAAAGCCATTGATTATAATAAGATTCATTTTAGAATATTTTGATACAAAATTTATAGGAGAAAAGCTACATTAAGATAACAAAATAATGCTGTGAACCATCCCTGATATTCAGCGTCTAGAACTGAACAGGCAGTTGCATTTAGCCTCTGTGCTTTGAGTTTGTCACCTTTATCTGTACGGCTGCAGCCTGAGTCAATGAACAACCATCCATCCCAACAGTGAGCAACTGTACAGATCTATTCCCAATCAGATATCCAGTTTTTATTCTGCAAGGCTCTTACACACGGTTCTCTTCTCTTTCCCCAGCTTTTTTTCTAGCCATTTAAAAACCTCATGTTGCACACCTCAGAACAAGGGTACCTGCATAGAACATTTGTATACCTAACCCTGAATTGTACCCCACATCTTTAAAATGAAAAAATTAAAATTTTTAAAAAAAAAAAGAACCTCTTACGTTGGGTGTAGTGGCTTACATCTGTAATCTTGGCACTTTGGGAGGCTGGCGTGGGAGGATTGTTTGAGTCCAGGAGTTTGACACCAACCTGAACAACATAGAGAGGCCTCATCTCTACAAAAAAAAAGAAAAAGAGGAAAAAAATGAGCTGAGCATGGTAGTGCTGCAGCCTGGGCAATAGAGTGAGACTCTGACTTAAAAACAAAAAGAAGCCTCTCATCTTGAGGATTACCACGTGTCCCTGACCTCCCTGTGCTCAGCTCCTTCTGCATAACTGTTCACATGCTTGCTGGCCTTGTGAAGTCTTCTGTTGTATCTCAGCCCACCTCCTCAGACTCCTCTCCCATCACTGCGTGGTGTGTTCTCTGATCCAGCTGCGCTATTAAGTCTGCTATTCACGAGCACCCTGTTTTCCTGCTGTTGGGCTTTCCCTTGTTCTAAAAGCCTGTTCTTCCTTAGATCACTGCCTTTCACAGTCCTTCCCACCTTCAAGACTATTGTGGGTGTTGCCTCCTGCATAAAGCTTTCCTCAAAACTCCTCTTTACCTCCTAACAGCCAAGAGACCCTCCGTTGAACCCCATTTTACACCGGGACCTCTCCTGAGGCACTCGTCACATTCTGCCTCATCTTACAGTCATTTGTGTGTTTTTATAGTTTCTACCCTAAATTGTAACTTGAAGCCAGAGTCTGTATCTTTCTCTTCACCCAATCCTCTGTAACACCAGCACATTGTGCCTTGGGAATAGCTGTTATTTGAGTATCTGTTGCATGACAAATGAGGTGCATTCAGTTTTTGAAAAATACTCAGGAGTATTTTTCCACCTATTTCGCAATATGTTGGGATTAGGACGGTAGTGTATAATGGACACACAACATTTTAGGTGGTGTATATTTTTTATTTGTTATGTACTATTTAATAAAACATAAATCTATTTTATATTCTCATAAAGAAAGGTAAGGAAATACATTGACGGGGAGCTGGTTACAAAAGTCCCTGGGAGCATGGGCTGTGAGAGCCAAGATGTAATTGTTAACCGTAAATTGCAGGCACTGATGAGGAGAGCGTCCTGACTCTGCTGACATCCCGAAGTAATGCTCAGCGCCAGGAGATCACTGTGGCTTTTAAAACTCTGTATGGCAGGGTAAGGCTGCACTTTATCCCAAAACAGATAGGAACGGCTTATTTGAAATGTACCAGTGTTCTTCTGTAAACATCTCTGTTTCTTTCTTTTCTGCTCTCCTCTAACTTCTCAGCTGTCAGACAGCACCCACCCAGCTTGACCTCACATGTTTGCTTTTTCTTGCTTGACTCTGTGTAACTGCTCTTCTTTTCCTCTGTGCTTCCACTTAGGGTTATTTTATATCCATTTTTAAGGTATGAGCCTATGTTACAATGTGTTTTGTTATGACGCAGTCACAGTCACCTTTTGTGGTGATTTTAAGTGAATGGATTTTTAGTTAATGAACAATTCAAAGTGAAACACTTTAAATTTTAAATTCAAGTGAATTAGTGCATTAAATGTAGTCTTGCTGTTCTGAAAACTTGTATTTGTCATTTCTTTTCTTTTTTTTGAGTCTCACTCTGTCACTGGCTGGGCTCGGGTGATCCTTCCGCCTCAGTCTTCCAAGTAGCTGGAACTACAGGCATGCGCTACCACACCTGGCTAATTTTTTGATTTATTGTAGAGATGAGGTCTTGCCAAGTTGCCCAGGCTGGTCTTGAACCCCTGGACTCAGACAGTCTTCTCACCTCAGCTTCTCAAAGTGCTGGGATTATAGGCTTGAGCTACCGTACCCAGCCTATATTTGTCATTTCATTGAGAAACAAATGCAAAGCAAAACAGTATTCTTAAAAAAAAAAAAAGTATTCTAAACACTATTTCCAGTTGTCGGGTATGCTGAAACTTACAGGTAGGAAATACTGTTTTTCTTTTCACTATTATGTATATAATTTCTTCATAGTAACAGATGTCTCTCAGTAGTCAGGAGTATAATAATGACTATAATCTGTTATGTGTTAGAATATTATTAGATATGGAGGGAAAATAAAAAATTATTATGTTTGGGTATGGTAGACTTAATTTTGTCCTTTGTAAAAATGGTGTTTTTGATCATTTTTGGGGCATTAAAACATCTTTTTTTTGAATCGGAGTTTCTCTCTGTTGCCCAGGCTGAAGTGCAGTGGCAGTGCTGGTCTCCAGTGATCCTTCTGTCTCAGCCTTCCAAGTGACCAGAACTACAGGCGTACACTACCACGCCTGGCTAATTTTTTGATTTATTGTAGAGACGAGGTCTCACTATGTTGCCCAGGCTAGTCTTGAACCCACTGGCAGGCAATCCTCTTGCCTCGGTCTCAGTCTCGGCCTCGGCCTCCCAAAGTGCTGGAATTACAGACTTGAGCCACCATGCCTGACTTTTTTTTTTTTTTTTTTGAATTGGAGTCTCACTCTTGTTGCCCGGGATGAGTGCAGTGGCAGTATCCTGGCTCATCGCAGTCTTAACCTTCTGGGTTCACGGGTCCTTCCACCTCAGTCTGTAGAGTAGCTGGGAGTGCACCATCATGCCTGGCTAATTTTTTTATTTTTTGTAGATACAAGGTCTTGCTATGTTGCCTAGCCTAGTTTCAAATTCCTGGGCTCAAACAGTCCTCTTGCCTCAGCCTCTCAGAGTGCTGGGATAAGAGTGTGAACCATAGTGCACTGCCAGATTAAGAAAATTATATTTTGAAAACAGATACCTTGATGAATAACTGGCTTAGCACATGTCAAAAGTATGTTATGCAAGACTGGGGCTCTGCTTAACTCATGTGCCTTCTACTTAGAGATAGCAACATAAATAATTTGTTAGAGCAAAGGACTATCATTTAGATTTAAGAAGAATTTCTTTAAAAAATTTCTGCCTTAACAAACTTGTACTTTCTATGAGTTAGGATCTTATGGATGACCTGAAATCAGAACTAACTGGAAAATTTGAAAAATTAATTGTGGCAATGATGAAACCCTCTCGACTTTATGATGCTTATGAGCTGAAGCATGCACTTAAGGTAAAATGGATAAGTGAAGGGAACGTTCTTGACATAAATAGTGTTATTTCATTTTAGTAATGACTTCATCTTATTTATTATATTTAAAAATTTTCGTTTGACTTATTTCAATAGGACTTGCTTAGAAGACAAAACTGTGGGAGGCATTAAGAAGTAAAGGAGGAAGAAAATTGCAAATGTGCCATTTAATCTTTTTGTAGACTTAAAATCAGTAATTTTGGCTATTTAAAATTAAAAAAAAATTTTTTTTTTTTTTTTTAAGTCAAGGTCTCACTCTGTTGCCCAGGCTGGAGTGCAGTGGCACAATCACTGCTATCACGGCTCATGGCAGCTTCAACCTCCTGGGCTTAGGCAATCCTTCCACCTCAGCATCGGAGTAGCTGGGACTATAGCCGTGTACCACCACACTCAGCTAATTTCTTGATTTTTTTGTTTTGTAGAGATGAGGTCTTGCTGTATTGCCCAGGCTAGTCTTGAACTCCTGGGCTCAAGCTATCTGCCTACCTTGACCTCCCAAAGTACTGGGATTAATAGGCATGAGCCACTGTGCCCAACCAAATTTTTAGTATTTAAAAAGCTTTTTATATTTTATTTTTATGCCTATTCTCTGATTTTGTGAAGTGTTTAAAAAATATTACAGATGAGGTATTTTATCTTTTTAAATAGAAAGTTGCCTGATTAGGGAACATTAATATTACTGATAATTTTAGATTAAAAGTAAAGCTTCAGAGCTGATTTTTAAGATGAGATTTTCTAATACCTTTCTCTCTTTCCTGTACTTTTAAACACTAACATGAAGTAGCAGGTAAACTTGTAATTTCAGTTGTAGCAAAAACTAAATGTGTTTCCGTTGACTGGGGTTTACAATATTGTATAAATATGATTGCACTGAAACATTTGTTTAGACTTATGGGACAGGAAGCAGTGCAGTTGTTAGTAGTTAGATTTTGAATGTGGCAAATTGAAATTTAACAACAAGGAACTAATGCAGCTCAGGGATTCTTACTGATGAAGTGGAGAGAGGAGAAGTTTCATCCTGATAGCAGCTTGTTTGTGCTTAGTCTTTATATTTTCCTACAATGATTCTCTTGGAATAAACAAACTCTTAATGAGAAAGTGTTTTTTTTTTTTTTTTTGGCCAAGTGCTTCTTACATGTCTGCAATAGCTAAAATTCTGCTGGAGGATGAACGCTAGGTTTTTCAGTGCTTGATTTGTGGTAAAGAAACAGAAATATAAAATAAGACTTAACTATGCTATCTATTTAAAATAATTAAGTTCAACTATACTATTGCATTTTTAAATTTAGTGGTATAGATATGACTTTTATAAGCAGGAAAAGGAAAACCAACTAAAATTATTTTTCAAAACTCCAGAAAGCAAGTTCTAATTCCTTTATACTGATCTAATTCCTTAGTAAGTAAGCAGTGTTATATTCATTGTTACCTTTGATGCAGAATTTCCCTGTGACTTCACAGAACTTAACTCAGGGACAGGGGTTTATGTTTAGAGGTACAGATTGTTTAAGTATCAGTGTCCCTTCATGCATACGTATATGAAGTTTTCATTTTTACTATTTCAATTAAAAAATTATTTCATGTTTTATTAAAATGTTTGACTTTTAAACTAGAATTAACTGGTCAAATTACAAGTTACAAATTGTATATAGTATATATATGTATACATATATACATATATAATCATTGTTTTTTGTTATTCAAAAAATACTACTATTGCTTTTGGAGAAAAAATTAATTTGAATTTTCTTTTTTCTAAACTAGACTTTATATATAAAGAAGTCCATGTTATGCTGGATAACATTTATATAACTTCAGTTTGGGTAACAAATTTCTTCTTAAAAAGAAAATAACTTTCCTTTTTTTTTATTGAAAATAAATCTCAGGGAGCTGGAACAAATGAAAAAGTTTTGACTGAAATTATTGCTTCAAGGACACCTGAGGAACTAAGAGCCATAAAACAAGTGTATGAAGAAGGTAAATATTTTGTGTATTTTTTACCTTTATCTCCACTGTCTCTTCTTTCATTTCTCTGACATGAATGCAGGTGAGATACAGAAGGCAGGCAGTACGTGAATGTTGAATGAATGTATGAAGGAATAACCCACAGTTCAAGTTACTTTTTTCTCCTTCAGTAAAGAAAATGTTGCTTTTTTAAACATTTAACTATTTTAGCAGTTTATAAGAGGCTGTGGATGAAGATGGGTTTAATTACTTTTACATAGGATTTACAACGAGTGCAGGGAAATCTGGGGGGGGGGATCCCAAAAACCTGGAATTATTTTTTTGGAGGGTGGGCCCCTTTTAGTATACAATAAACATTGCTTTTCATTATTCAGCATCAAAGTACCAGTTAGCATTGTTATGAGAGGCTGCGTTGGCGTCAGTAAATTTTTTTTTGGAGATTCTTTTAACACATTTACCCATTTCAGAAGGGTTGATCTACCAGCTCACCTGCCTACACAGCACTGAGTGAGTTTGACCAAAAACAGCATGACACCCATGCCCTACCCTCCCTGTTCACCCACCCGATCTGACCCCGAGCAACTTTTTTGTTTCCCTGGATGAAAAATACCCTCAGAGGGAAACATTTTGCTTATGTGGAAGAGGTACAACAAAAAAACGGCTGGAGCACTGAAAGACATCGAAATTGATGAGTTCAAAAACTGTTTTGAACAGTAGAAAAGTGTTTTGGTAGATGACTTAGAACAACTGCAGTTGTTAAAGGATGGTAAAATTCAGACTAAAGCCAGATACCAAAATGGTTAATGCAGGAATGCATTTAGAGGTCATCATAGTTTTGTGTGTGTGTGTGTGTGTGTGTGTGTGTGTGTGTGTGTGTGTGTGTGTGTGTGTGTGTGGCTTCATGGTACAGACAGCAGAGTTTAAAGAGTAGATGAGTTTAGTAAGTGTCCATTGACTGATGAATAGATAAAGAAAGTGGAACACATACATACACACAGGATTATTATTCGGTCCTCTTGCCTCAGCCTCCCAAAGTGCTGGGATTACAGGCTGAGCCACTGTGCCCGGCTGGCTATATTCTTAGTACTGTATCGTATGCTTTCTCACCACAAAAAACTATGTGAGATGATAGATATGCAAATTAGCTTGATTGTGGTAATCATTTTGCAGTGTATATATGTACATCAAGACATCATGTTGTACGTCTTTAATATATACAATGTTTACTTGTCCATCATAATCCAACAAAGCTGGAGAAAACTAGGTGGGTTTTGGGTAGGAGGAAAAGACATTTTTGGTCAAGGTATCATTTATTTTCAATGGCATGGAGACTGGACTGTGGAGAGTACATGGGGGAATAGAGGGAGCCTGACTGTCATGGAGGTTACATGCAAGGAGATTAACATGTGAGGATAGGCTAGGTATTGATGGTTTTGCATGACTGGATTAAGAATTTGGACTTCATTCAAAGGCATTGTAAATTTCTAAACAGGCCTTGGAGTGTTGAAGGAACAATTGAGGGAGGAAGAAGATTTGAATCAAGAGGCTGATTAGGTAGCTATGTATGGGAGGCAAGCTGGATATTTAAGAATTATGGCCCAACCTGGCTTGGTGGGTGACATGAGGAGGATAAATCAGAGAGAGGAGAAACATTTGAGAGGATTTGATGGTGAATTATATACAGATTTTGGAATAGAAGAAGGAATCAAAGATTCCTGCAAGGTTTTGTGTTTGGGTAACTGACTGAAAAAAGCATGTAACTTTTCTGGATCTTTTCAAGCACAAGTTTCAGGCTTTTAAAGTTTGCTCGCTTTCACATAATGATTAAATGTTTAACTACTTTGGAGTAATGTCTCCTTTCCTATAATAGCAGTGATTTGAGTTAATGAGAAGGACTTGTTGTAGACCCTTGTGCATCCCAGCTCCCCTTTCCTATGACCTTTTGTTGAACAGCTGGACATACAGATAGGAGAGGTCATACTTTAACATATCATTGTTGTCTCTCAGAGTTAACTTTATTTCTGCATAGGAAAAATATTTTATTAGAGGAAGGAATGGCCATGCCGAAAGAAAGAAAGCTCAGAATGTTAGGGAATGGAAGACGTTTGGAAATGAATCATGCAAAAGATTTGAGAGAAAGCAAAGTTTAAACTTACGATTGATTGTGTTTAGGACACTTGGCAGACCATCGTGTGTCTACAGATTAATAATTACATTGGTTGAGAACATTTCTAAATGCCCGAGTCATCCTATAGGCTCAATCAAGTGCTTTTAGGAGACTAATTTAATTCATTTTTGTTTAACCATTCACTGTAAGGCATTTGCTTTTGGTCATTAGAGCTCTCAGAACTGGAATAGAGAGGACTTATGTTAACCAACTATAATATTTCTTTTTTTGTGTGTCACTTTCAGTTGCTTAGTGGGGCAGGATTTTTTTTTCTAGTTGAAAGATGTAAATAAGTATGAATTATTTTGTTGCAGAATATGGCTCCAGCCTGGAAGATGACGTGGTGGGGGATACTTCAGGGTACTACCAGAGGATGTTGGTGGTTCTCCTTCAGGTATTTGGTGGAGACTAATTATAGTTTGATGAAAACATCTGAGCTTGGACTAGCCTGAATCTAGTTAAGAAAGATCACTTAACATTCTTTTAATAAGTTCTGGTTCTTGTTTCCTACTGTGATGATTCTGGCTGTGTGTTGCCTGTGCTTGTTTGTGTTTCTGAATATCTGAACTCTTAATAGTTAACTCAAAGGTTTGTTTTAGATAGCAGTGTCCTCTTTATTTCAGAGAATTTAACATCAGGAGGGTCATGTTGGTTTTGGACAGTGCTGTGTGATAGTGTGAAATATTATAGGATTAATATGATCTTAATAAAAACATTATTTCTATAAAAAGCTTTATGTGTATAACCATGAGGTGGAATTATTTTTCCTTTTGAATGAAAATGCTTTGTAATTCAGTAATGTGTCATATTATCTCTTATAGGCTAATAGAGACCCAGATGCTGGAATTAGTGAAGCTCAAGTTGAACAAGATGCTCAGGTGAGTGAGGCCTAGCATGTGATGACTTTATGATGCTGTAGAAATGAAAAAAGAATTCATGGTAAAGAAAATCACAATGTGTGTTGTAATAGCCTTGAGAAATAATCTTATTTATGGGTTCTTCAGATAGTAAGACCCACATAAATCAGTTTCTCTTATTCTGATCTGGTCAACAACATATTTTAATCCCTAAGCTGGAATGAAGTAAAATAAGTTATACTGTGAGTTTCACTTAAACATTTTTTTTTTTTTATTATGAAACATTCACAGAGTAGAGAATTTTACCCAAAGATGTTATCAGTGGGTCTCTTAGCAGTAGAGGATAAAGAAGAATAAGATATTTAATGTTAAGTGTTGTTTTATTATATAAGAGATAACGAGATATTTTAGTATTAGAAAAATTCTCTGCATTTCCTTTGACAGAATCCTAAATAAGATTTTTTTTTTTTAATCAACAGCTTTTTAGTGGCTTCCAAATGAAAATTTGCACTTAATTGACTCCTAAATCTCAATTTCGTTTCAGTGTGGTTTATAAAGCAGTCAGATGCAGGAGATAAGTGTTAGGAAATTTGAAGCATGAGAGTTGAAAACTGGAAATTGGTAATAAAGGATTACTTGGCTCCTAGAATCACAGATCATAGCCCTTTCTCTCTGGTCACATGTTTCAGTTAAGGGGATGTAACAGTTCTGGGTGGTTAGTCATACTCCCTTGAAAAAGGAAGAGCTGTGTTCACTCCTCCAATGGACTGTGCACTGTGAAACAACCAGTGCATGTGTGCTCTGATTTTGCTCATAGGGAAGAGGAGAGATCTTACTCTTGTCGGGTGGGTTGATTTTAGGAATACTGAGGGCTCTCTGTGCAGTATTTGACTCTTGCTTCACTAGCCCTTATAAGAACCTGTTGTGTCATGTCCCTGATTAAAACCTTAGGGCCCTCTGGTGCTTCCACTGCTCTCAGGATAAAACCCAGGCCCTGGGCTATGGTGTATAAGCCCCACTTATCTGTGTTCTGCTTGTTATACCTCTGCCTTTCTCTTGGCCCTTTTGCTTGCTCCTCCCTGCCCCATACGCTTGCCTGATTGCTATTCTAGGATCAGTCCTCAGCTTAGATGCTTTTCACGTAGTTCTGTCTGATACCCCCAAGTGTGAGTCAGGTACCCCTCACAGGGAAAACCAACCCCCTGCAGGCTTCCTGTCCGTCCTTGCCACCTCATATTGAAGCTGTCTGTTTGCTTAACTGCCTTTCCAGGGTGCTCTCGGCTGTCAGTTCAGTTGTATCCTCAGTTCCTGGCATAGAATAGACACTCAGTAAGTAACTGAGGAGTGAACTAGTGCATACCTTTAAGGTAATGGGTCAGTTTCCCTTTTATAGAATAGCAGTGGAGCTGGGACTTCCACCTGGTCTGACTGACTCCAAAGCCCCTTCTCTTTCACTGAACAATAATCTCAGTGTTATTAAATATTAGCACCTCTCTCTCATTTCCTTTATCATATAAGGGGTTTATTAAATACAGTTTGGAAACACAGATCTAGCTCAACTCCACCTTCTTGCAGGGAAAGGATCAGAGCAACCCTACAAAGTCGTACACCCAGCTGCTGGGGCTTTGTTCTGTACTGAGATGACCTTATTGCTTTCCAGGCATCATTTGTGGGCTTTGGTAGGAGACAGTGCTGATTCTCACATTCCTGTTCTCAGGAAGCTTTTCACCAGTCACAGTGTAGGAAGCCAACTCTGGTCTCAGATGACCGTGGTGAGGCCTGCATTATCGAGCAGTGGGCAGATTTCCCAGCACAGTTGGTGATGTAATGAGAACTGCTGCCTTGCGAGGCTCCTGGGGAAACTGCATTTTAACCTCACTTCCATCTATTTCTCTTCGGAGCGTTCACTGGATAGCACTGATTCTCACTCTCCTGGTGGGGCAATCGCCTGGGAATCTTGTCGGGCTACAGACTCTGATTCCATAGGTCCTGGTGGGGCCTGGGAGGCCGCATTTCTAAAGTGCTCTGAGGTGATGCCGATGTTGTGTCCTCAGTACTTTGACACCAAGGCTGTAGAGGTGTCACTTACCTGTCACACAGCAGATGTGACCATTCAGAGCCCTGGAGGTGAAACTCTGTCAGGCATATAGTTCTAAAGTTTAGATACATGCGTGACTTTCATAGTAATTGTCTTTTTATTTCGAAGTTGTGGCTTGCTCACGTGAACTGATCCATATTGTTTATCTTTATCATTAAATTAATTTTAAAATTTAGTGTAAAGATATGTGATTCTCATCTTTTTTGTTTTTAATTCTCTGGAAATATAATAAAAAGTGGCTTGTACCACCATAGTCTACATTCTTAAACATGCTGTGATCAAAACTTCCATTCAAACCCTTTCATTATCACTTCCTGTTCTGACTGGGATTGCCACAAGTGGGCGTTGGGCCAAATCCAAGTAGCAGCCTCAGCAAATTGCATGCATCTTGGTTTAATAAATGTACTTAATTTTAAATGAATAACTAAAAGGATAGCATAGTCATTGTAAAGACTGATTCTTTGGCCTTTAATAAGTTATTTGCATCTTTATTAGGGGATTCAGATGTAATAATGATGTCTGTATAGGTTTATTATTTTTAAGCAGCTATGTGAACACTGGAAAGCATGTATTTTCTATGTCTAAAATAAGTGGTCACTCAAACTATTCAACAACTATTTATTAAGTGCTTGAAGTATGCTAGGCATTGTGCTACAACCATAACCTTTTCAGGGCACAAAACTTTAGAAATAAAAACTATAAGCCGTCAGGTGGATTAATATTCAGAGCAAAAAGCAGATGTGATTAGATTAAGAACCTGGAAGTGAGATAGAGGAACAATTTTATTAATTGGGCTTGAAATTTTTGCAGGCTCTGTTCCAGGCTGGAGAACTTAAATGGGGGACAGATGAAGAAAAGTTTATCACCATCTTTGGAACACGAAGTGTGTCTCATTTGAGAAGGGGTAAGTAAAAATGTCTGTATGGGGCAGATACTTTGGTAAATTTTGAAATTTTGAGTTAGTATGTCAAAAGAGCTGCTTAGTAGTTGGCAATTAATGAATCAGTTTTTGTGTTTCTTCCTTTTGGTGACCTGGAGAAATCTGATCATTCTCTTTGCTGCTGTTGTATCTTTTATAAATTAGGGCTCCTTGATCCACTTTTCAATATCCGAGGGTGGCCAGGGAGGTCAGGCCTCTGCTTGTTACTCTCATAATCACAAGTCATTGAGTAGGGGTTCACTGCAAGTGTTCCTCCTTGACATCGGTACCCAAGACCTCAGCTCTAGATGTTCATCAGCACTTGTGGTGTCAGTAGGGAAGGAGTTGAATGACAAGTGATAGAAAACCCTAATAGAGGCTTTAACAATTGGGCTTTGTTTCTGTAGGTTGGATTCTACAACTGATTTGGCAGGACCTGAGGTCTTTTCATATCTGTTCCACTGTCCTTAGTGTTTTGGTTCCCTTTCTCATGCTCATTCCCTCATTAGCACAAGATGGCTGCTATAGCTCCAAACATAACCATTTTATAGCCGGAAGAAAAGGGTAGACTAGTCATATCTATCTATCACTTTTTATAAGAAAAGGAAAAGACTTCCCAGAATCCCCTCCAGCAGATTGAGGTGCTGAACACAAGGAAGAAGGGGGCATGTGTGTTTGGTAGGATAATACCTGATCAGAATAAATATCTTCTTTGCGGATAGAGTGATCTTATGCGATTAAGAAATCATTTTCATTTTTTCTAGTGTTTGACAAATACATGACTATATCAGGATTTCAAATTGAGGAAACCATTGACCGGGAGACTTCTGGCAATTTGGAGCAGCTACTCCTTGCTGTGGGTAGGTAATTAATTTTACAATGTATGTAATATTTATGGTGCTAAAAGTACTTTATGCAATGGAGGTTGTATCTGAACATAACCACCTAGTTATGAGAGGAAGAGCTTGACATGATTTGGGGGGTAGGAACAAACTTCTAAATTTCCAGTTAAAAGTTTGTTTTGATTTAGAAATACAGGATTATCTGGTTAGTTCATCCAATCCTATGGAAATACTAAGAGAATTGTTTAAAAATAATTTTGAAGCTGCATTAAAAATATTACTATTTCATTATGAACCTGAAATGTTATGGATATTATCTCAGAAGCTTGTAAATGTTATTTCTGATACCTGCAGAATTTTAGAGTTCTTGTGAATACTGTCATCACAGTTTTGAAATAGACTGAGAAGTTGCCTGGTTTAGAAAAGAGTGTCTTTGACATAATAGAAGATATGATGATGGTTGTTTTCAGATTAAATAACTTAGAGTTTTATTTTAACTTCCAGATTAATAATTTGGAAGACTGGGAGAAATGAGTTTGTGCAGTTGATTGTAGAATTATATATACTCCCCAGATTCAGGGAGAATTTATTTTATGATTCTTAGTAGTCCTAGTTTTCATATGTATGTGGACTGTCTCTGTCTGCTGTTTCTTCCAAATATTTGGCTATGAGCTCAAGCTTTTGTGCTCTCTGTCTTCTGGAGAATAAGCTAAATATGTGCACGAACCAACTCTAAAAGTAGCCTTTCATTTGAGTACACAGTGAACTTTTACTAGAAGACTTTTAGATAGCTCCTTCATAATTAGAATACACATACAATTTGGCTTTTTTTTTTTTTTTTGACTGGGTGTAATGGGTCACACCTGTAATACCAGCACTTTGGGAGGCTGAGGCGAGAGGATCACATGAGCCCGGGAGTTTGAGACCAGCCTAGGCAACATAGTAAGACCTCCTCTCTACAAAAATATTAAAAAAATTAGCTTGGTTGGTGGTATGTACCTGTAGTCTCAGCTACTTGAGAGGCTGAGGCAGAAGGATTGCCCGAGCTCAGGAAGTCAAGGCTGTGGTGAGTCATGATTATGCTACTGCACTCCAGCTTGGGTAACAGAGTGAGACCCCGACTCAAAAAACAACAGCAACAAGAAAAACCCAACAATGGCATTTTTAGTACTGGTGGCTATTTTTCTTAAGTACTGGAAAAGGAAGAATTAGGAAAGCCTCACATGGAAAGAATATTTTTGTATATTGAAGAATTTTCATCTGAATAGGTTTTCTGAAGCTAAGCAGACTGAGATCTGAGTAACCTTATCCTACATTAGACATGTACATGTTTGGAGAAGATAGACTTTTCTGATGTCAGTTTATCTGGGTTTGTTCCAAAATGAATGTTTCCTGTTGCTCTGTATGAATTTTGGATATTAAAGAATATGACAACAGTATAGGAAGGTAGTCAAAGAATTTTCAAAGATTAGAGTAGTAATCTTGTATTATTTGCTCAAATGTATTGGAATGAAAACTTCCAATGTGTCTGTATAATTTATCGGTGATGAAGTAGGTTGTGGCATGGTAAGAATCCAGGCTGCCAAAGTTGTATTGTCCAAAACTTGCTTGTAGAGCAAAGGGGCAGAGAAAAAACTTAGGATCCTTGTTCTACATAGACCTCAGACCTTGGTGAGTGAGGAAATCATATCTGCTTGCAAATAAGCAGCTCTGTAGCCTCTGAAACTTTTATGCTTCTATTTAGAAGTAGAGCTATAAGCAAGAGGTAGCATTGATTTTTAATTAATCCTTTTCACATCAGAATAGCATCTGACCATTGCATTATTTATTTCCTTAGTGAAATCTATTCGAAGCATACCTGCCTACCTTGCAGAGGTACTCTACTATGCTATGAAGGTAAGTGGATACCTTGAATCTTCTATCTAGTACAGTTCTCTAAGTATCATCTTTCTCCATCTCTAATTATGTTTTAGATGATAGACCTTGAGAATTTTTCTTAAAACACGCAGTCCAGATCTACCAAATTGTTTTACTTTATTGATTCACCCCAACTCGGGGCATTTGATGCTGCGTTTGAAGTTTTTAAACACTGTGCCTCTTTCTTTTTCTTTTTTTAAAGGGAGCTGGGACAGATGATCATACCCTCATCAGAGTTGTGGTGTCCAGGAGCGAGATTGATTTGTATAACATTAGGAAGGAGTTCAGGAAGAATTTTGCCACCTCTCTTTATTCCATGATTAAGGTAGCAGAGCCTTTCTTTAGATTATGTTTAGAAATTAAAAGCAGACCAATATATAACATGCAAGACAGAGATGGGAAAACACAATTCTTGTGTTAAGTTTAAAATTTTAGTGGTATGATTAGAGCTGTGTGTTAAAAAAGCTCAGCATACTGTTTCCTGAGGTGGGGCTGATGGTGACCAAGTGAAAGCTCGGGTGTGGGTGGGGCTGAGGCTCTTGGTGAACACAGGGACATTATTTAATAGTGGTGACAGATGACTCAACAAATCCTACCCCTTGCCCATGATAATAATGTGTTCTTTCTGTCTGTTATCAGTTCCAGCTGTCTTTATTAGTTCTTCCTTTATTTCATATCAGTTTTTCCTTTTCTTTATTGTCTCTTATCACCTTGTCTCTAGTGTTGGTTCATAGTTCAGGAAAGAGTCAACAGGTCATATCGGGAATAAGACAAGAACTTAGGTATTGGCATTTTTGTTCTTTTAAAAATAAGGCACTCCATGGCCTATAATTAAGTTTGACTTAGAATCTTTTGACTCTTACTTTTTGATAAAAGCTAACATGGGCCATGTGCAAAGCAGGATTTTAAGTGAATGAAAGCTTTAATTTAGTGTGTGTGTGGTGTGGCTGGGCTGAAGGGCAGTAAAGGGTACACCCATGTGCTTGTAGCTTAAAACATTGATTTGCTGCACACATCTGTGTGTCAGGCAGCAGGGACAAAGCACATCCTGCCTACTGTCTCTAAGGGAAAGCGATAGCAGCCTGGCAGCCCCTATGCACTCTCCTTCAGCCAGGTGATGGAAACTAGAGTTTACTGAGAAAATTTGATTTTCATTTTAATACAGTTGCTTATATTTCTCTGCTCTTTGTGTTACTAGAGGGAAGAACAGTTCTCAGAGAGAACTGAGCCTTTAAGGGGTAGAATGAGAAAATCGCACATAGATTGCATTGACAGAAAACTTCCTGTGTGACATTCCTGATGTGAAAGTCACACACAGAGATTACCCACTTGGGAGAAAATACCTGTGAATAAGATTTGTTGCCAAATATTTTTTAATTTTTAACTGTTCTGTGGCTTCTGTGAGTCACAGTGGTTAATAGAATATATATGGTTTCAGGGTGATACATCTGGGGACTATAAGAAAGCCCTCCTGCTGCTCTGTGGAGGAGAAGATGACTAATGGGCCACCAGGGAGAGTGCCCTGCCTATGCCTGACCGTCCAACTCCCTTCTTCACGTCCAGCTGCACTTCTCATATGCCAATGCTCAGCACAACGCCTTACTCATGCTAGCATGCTAAAGACCAAGACACATGAAGAAAATAGCGGTGCTTCCTTCTGATCTTGGGTCCTGATCTTACTATCTCTCTGACTGCTGTAGTACTGAAGTGTACTTACGTTACTAAGTCTAACGCCTAGGTCATTTATATTTTTCCTTAAAAGGCCAGATTGCTTTTTGCCTTTTTACAGAACTTCATTTATATTAAATTGATAACTGTCTTACCTTAATCGGAACCACAGCCTTGATATTGTGAACTCCAGGAAATGTTATTAGTCAAGTTTGCAACAGAACTAAACCTGCGAAATTATGGTGGTTGTATTCAAAAGGTTAATGAAGAATAAACATTTCCTTCCCCTTGAGCTGTGTGTTTAGGGATTTTATTTAATTTATCTATTTAACAATGATATCTTTTTCCAAGCCATTCAATTGGTATTAGTTGAGAATTGAATTTACAGTTGGTCTTTGGGTGATAAGAAATGCAGCACCACATCTGAATTTTCTTCACAGTATGCAGTGAGGGAGAAATTGAAGGCGTCTCTGGTTTATTTGCTGCAAATATTAGGCATCTGTTAAGGCAGTGCTTGTGGTTCTTCTGCTTGCCTAGCAGAAAAGCTAATTTTAAAAACCTAAAAATTCAGAGCACTACCTTTCTCTTTTCTATATAAACTTTTTTCCCCCCTATTTATCACCTGGCACCTTCACCTTCTTTGAGGTAAAAAAGCAGGCAGTCTTTTTTTTTTTAGAAAGAAGCAGTTTCTTTATCTCTTCTATTATTTACCTGTCAGTTTTCTGCTTTCAAACTTCCTCTTCAGTTTTCATTTTTCATTTTGTATTTATGCCCTTACTGATGCATTTTTTTTTAAAGCAAAGTGACGGTTTTAATAAACAATTCTTCCTTTGAAAATTTTTAAATAGTGATACTGTTTTTTTTCACAACCTTTGATACTCATCAGAATAACCAGGAGGACCTTAAAAATTGTGTAGGTGGACATGTGACATTGGATTTTTTTCCAGTGATTTCATAGGCAATTTTGATTTGTTGAGTATCAGTTGCCTGTACTTTTCATATGGGAGATGATATATTTCAAAGAATTCTGTTCTCTCTGTTTTTTTTTTTTTAAATAGCCCACTGGCTTTAAATATAAGCCCTGGATTATTTGTGTCATGTTAAAAATAAATGAACTAATACGCTTTAACATTTGTTATATTTATCTACTTTGCCTCTACCCAGTTCTTCCTGTAAATTTATTGGGAGACCAGTAAGTGTTTTTGGAACTAGATAGGCTGATTCTAATTTCATGTATAAAAATAATTGTCAGTAAAACTTTAAAAGAAAGCAGTGAGGGAGCACTAATCCTTACAGATTAGAATAGACTATACAGCCTGAATTGCTAGAAGGTTTAGCACTGGGGTATGAGTAAACAGGTGGACAAAATAGAATGTACAGATATGAAAACAGATCACTTGGAAATTTAGTATGTGAGAAAAGTCTTAATTTTCTGTGTAAAGATGGAGTTTTTTGATTGTTGTTGTTCATAAATGGTGTGAAGACAATTGGGCAACCATCCAGAAAAAGGTGAGATTACATCCATACCTCACATATCAAGCAAATCTCAAAATGAATCAAAGATTTAAGCATAAAGATTGAATCATAAATATATTAAAAGAAAACAGTATGGTATAAATATAGTACAAACAAGTTTATATGCACTGGGAAACTAAAAAAATGTGTGTGGCTAGCTTGGCCGGGATATTTACTCCGTTGCAGTGTTGGCGGTGATCTGGAACCAAACTCACTGTATCTCCAAGGTATGTCTGTGAGTAATTCCCAGAAAGTGAAAAAGAAAAAACTAGTACTATAGTTTAAAAAAAAAGGACAAAATAGATGAATAGTCCATGAACAAGAAATAACAAATGACTCTTGAACAAAGATTCTTGGTCTTTCTTACAATGACAGAAATGCAAACTTGAATGGTACTGAGATGTCTTTCTTCACCTATCAGATTGTTAACAATCCAAAGCTAAACAATGTACTATTGTTGGCAAGTTGTGGTGAGCTGGGAATTGTCACATATGGCCAGTAGGAGTAGAAAGTGGTACATCCCCTTTGGACGGGAGTTGGGCAGTATTTATCAAAACTATCAATGCACTTACCTTCTGCCCCAGCAGTGGCAATCAGGGCACTTATTCTACCGTCACCTACCTTTATGAAATGATGTCTGCACAAGCTTATTATGACATTGTTTTAGCTAAAGGTCAAAAATAATGCAAGTGTCCATCAATAGAAGATTGGTTAAATAAATTACAATATATGCAAATAACTACAGTATAAACAAATACTACCACAGTGTAAAAACAGATGAGAAAGGCTCTATATGCATCTCACAGAAAAGTCTGCAGGATAAGTCTCTGCTAGTGAAAAAAGCAAAGTACAGAACAGCATCTATAGTTTCCTAACTCTGTATAAGCAGGTTTTTTTTTTTTGGAGGGGAGGGGTGGAGAATATTAATATATAAATATATATATGGCTGATGCTTAAGTTCATAGCGTTTTTATCTTGTCTATGAAATGCAAATGTTGCATGATCATTGACTAGTTCATCACATTTGCCAATTCTCAGGTAGATTGATGTGGATCATCACAGACTAAAATGTTTAGATGGTCTTCATCAAAGCCCGATAGTTTTCCTGAATGTGGAGAATCACTCAGGTCAAAGTGGCCTTCTTTGAAACGACAAAATCATTTATATTTTTATTTTAAAGATGCGGGGTAAGTACATAAGTGGTCATAGAACAGGTAAAGTTTAGGTACTCTTATTGATGTTATGTGCCCTCTCTTCCCTCCCCTGGCAGTGTCCCACTACTGCCAATCCCTTTCTTATAGTATTATGATACATGTTTAGGGTCCACTTATGAGTGAGTACGTGTAGTACTCAGATCTTTGTTTCTGTGATAGATCACTGAGCATTATAGACTCTAAATCCATCCAAGTTGCTGCAAAGTTTGTAATTTTGTTTTTCTTTATGGCTGCATAATATTCCACCGTGTGTGTGTGTGTATGTATATACATACATATATACATATGTATGTATATGCATACATTATATATACATGCACCACACTTTCATTATCCAGTCCACTTTTGATGGGCAGCACAGCTGGTTCCATGTTTTTGCTATTGTTAATAATGCTGCAATAAACATGCGTGTGCAGGTATCTTTTTAAAAACGTGATTTGAGTTCCTCTGGGTATATTCTCAGAAGGGGGATTGCTGGGTCATGTGGAAAGTAGATTTTTAGATCTTTTAGAAATTGGCACACTTTTCTACAGAGATTGTACTAGTTTATACTCCCACCAACAGTGTAGAAGCGTTTCCTTTTCCCTACATCCTCTCCAGCATCTGTTGTTTTTTGAGTTATTGATGATGGCCATCCTGATTGGATTAGGTGGTATCTCAGTGTGGTTTTAATTTGCATTTCTTGGGTGATTAGTGAGGCTGAGAGTTTTTTCATGTATATGTTGGCTACTCATATGTCTTCTGAGAAGTGTCTATTCATATCTTTTGCCCACTTTTTAATAGGGTTGTTTGTTTTTTCCTTTTAGCATGTTTGAGTTCCTGAATGTTAGACTTTTGTCAGATTTACAGTTGGCAAATATTTTTTTCCCAATCTGTGGGCTGTCTCCTTGCTCTCTTGGTGATTTCTTTTGCTTTACAGAAACTTTTCAGTTTGATGAAGTCCCACTTGTCTACCTTATCTTTTATGGCATTTGCTTTCAGAGAGTTGACCAAGAATTGGTTGCCTACTCCAATGTGCCTAAGAGTGTTTCCCACATTTTCTTCTAGGATTCTTACAGTTTGAGGTTTTGTATTTAGGTCTTCGATCCATTTAGAGTTGATTTTTGTGTATAGTGATAAGTAGGGGTCCCGTTTAAATCTTTAGCATGTGGTCAACTACTTTTCCAAACACCATTTATTGACTAGGCCTTCTCTGCCCAGTGGTTGTTGGTGGAGGCTTTGTCAAAGATGAGTTGGTTGAGAAATTGAGATTTTGCTTCTGAAATCTCTGTCCTGTTCCATTGGTCTATATGCCTGTTCTTGTACCAATACCAGGCTGTTTTGACTATTGTAGCTTTGTAGTAGAGTTTGAAGTCTGAAAGTGTGATACCTCTCACTTTGTTTCATTTTTATTTATTTTAAAGATGTGGAGTACAATTCAGGATTAGGTATACAAGTGGCCATCATACAAGTAAAGTTTGGCCCTCCCTTTGGTCCCCACTTTGCCTGGTTTGAGATTAGGTACCCGTATTGATGTTGTGTCCCCCCGACCCCCACCCTGGCAATATCCTGCTACTGCTAATCTTTTTCTTATAGTATTATGATAAATGTTCAGTGTTTGCTTATGAGTGAGAACATAGAGTACTCTGTTCTTTGTATCTGTGATAGACCACTAAGTATGATAGACTCTAAATTCATCCAAGTTGCTGCAAAGTCCATATGTTTGTCCTTCTTTATGGCTACATAATATTCCATTGTGTATATGCACCACATTTTTAAAAATTCAATCTAGTTTCAATGGGTAGCACAGTTGGTTCCATGTTTTTGCTATTGTGAATAGTGCTGCAGTAAACATGCGTGTGCAGGTGTCTTTTTTGTAAAATGATTTGAGTTCCTTCAGGTATATTCCCAGTAGGGGAATTGCTGGGTCATATGGAAGGTCGATGTCTAGTTCTTTTAGAAATCACCACACTGTTTTCCAAAGAGGTTGCACTAGTTTGCATTTCCACCAGCAGTGTAGAAGTGTTCATTTTTCTCAGCATCCTTGCCAGCACCTCTTGTTCTTTGTTTTATTACTGATGGCCATGGTATCTCAACATGGTTTTGATTTGTATTTCTCTGATGTTTAGTGAAGCTGAGCTGAATCATGTGCCTTTTGACTGCCCATATATCTTCTTTTGAGAAGTGTCTATTCATGTCTTTTGTCCACTTTTTAGTGGGGCTGTTTGTTTTTTCCTTTTGACACAATTGAGTTCCTTGTAGATCCTGGATGTTATGTCCTTGTCAGAGATATAGTTGGCAAATATTTTTTCCCATTCTGTGGGTTGTCTCCCCTCTCTTGATGGTTTCTTTTGCTTTGCAGAAGATATTCAGTTTGATGAGGTCCCACTGTCTACTGTATCTCTTATGGCATGGGTACTTGGGGTTTTGATCAGGAATTGGTTGCCAGTTCCAATTCACTTTGTTTCTTTTGCTATGGATTGTTTTGACTTTTCATGGTCTTTTATGTTTCCATATGAATTTCTGTATTGTTGTTTCTAGGTCTAAGAAGAATGATGTTGGTAATTTAATGAGTATTGCATTA